GCCGGGCGGCCGGGAAAAGCGCGCGCCCCGCTCCGGTCTGGGCCCTCCTTCCCTGGCCGAGGCCCAGCGCACACCCACCTTCCCACCCCACGGGGTGGCCTCGGGCCTCGGACGCCCGCCAGCCCGTGGGGATCGGGGCAGCGCTGTCTTTTAAAGTGTGCAGGGCTGGTCCCCACCGAGACTGATCGCGTCCTTAGCGGCTCCAGGTAGTAAGCCGGGCCTTTCCCCAGTGGGGGAAGTCGCTGTGTTCCACTCTAAGGCAGAATGTCGGAAAGTGAGTCGGAGTGTTCTGAAAACTTCCAGAGAACCTTTTTTTCTTCTTCCTCTTTGTCTTCCTTCTTCCTTCCTAGAGTTTTCGAGCCCTAAGAAACCTTACACCAGCCATTTATGCCCCGGCTGCAGACAGGCTTCTGAGCCCCTCCTTCCTCCGACTCCTCCTATAAATCTAACGATCTCAACTCAGGTTGTGTTACCACGGTGGACACAAAATGCCACCCTGACAGCTTCTCTGTGCTCCTCTTTCTTCTCAGTCCCGGAACAGCATTTCCAGTTCTTGGCCCCTGGTCCTGTTAGTGACCTAAAGTAGTCTGTTACCGCCTCCCTTTTTTTTTTAAAGAAAAAAGAGAGAGAGAGACTTTTTCCAATCGGACAGGTGAGCTCTCCAGAAAGACAGAAAGTGAGAAATCAGGGAACCAGCGGTTAGCGTAATGGCTATGTCGCTGGACTCCCACGTAGTCGACCGCGGTTCACGTCCCGGACCCGGTGGCTTAAAACTCACGCCGGGCGCGTGTGCGTGCGGGCCCAGGATCCCTCGAGGGGAATGGAGGAGAAGGGATTGCGGCGTGACCATCCCCCCTGGGGGGTGATTTCTCGCTTTCTGTCTCTATGTGTCTCTGTCTATCTGGCGAGCGCACGCGGCGCGCGCCCTATAGAGAAAACCCCTCCAAAAAAAAAAAAGAAATCGCTCACACACACACACACACACACACACACACACTGGGGATGGCCATACCGTAATCCCTTCTCCTCCCTTCTCCTCCCTATCCCCCTCCCCCTCTCTGGGATCTTGGGCACACGCAGAGGTCAGGCATGAGTTTGAAGCCACTGCCAGGATTCAAACAGGCAGTTGGCCATGTGGGAGTCCAGTGACATAAGCATTATGTCATCTGCTGGTCCCAGTGGTCTCTAATTTTTTATCCAGTTTGGGAAGTCCATTACCACTCATCCCTCCCAATCAGCCAGAGTCTGAAAATATTGAGTAGAAAATTCCAGAAATACACGATCCGAAAGTGTTAAATTGCACACAGTTCTGAGTTGCGAAATGACATTCACATGGCCGGCTCAGACCTGCAGGGCACGTGAACCACCCCTTGGACCAGTGGATCCGCGCTGTAGATGCAGCTGCCTATTGGCCGCCTGGTAGCTAGGTGGGTTGTCAGGTCCACTGGTGTTTATCCCAGGGCTTCTGTTCCAGTCGCCCTTATTTTACTTAATGATGACCCCAAAGCCCAAGGGTTGCGATGCTGAAATGTTGTTGTTATTTTTCTATTTTATGAGTAGTTTTTGTGGTTAATCTTTTACTGTAACCAATTTATAAAAAGAACTTTACTGTGGACATGCATGTACAGGAGAAAAACACTAGAGAGTTGGTTTCTCACGTTGGTTTCAAATATCCAAGGGGGAATGTTAAAACATTCCCTGAGGATAAAAGAGACTTCTCTGTATACAAAGAAATGACTAGAAGGTGGCTTTTTTATTATTATTTAGTTTTTGCTATGGGGCACATGAGCTTGAGAGAGAGAAAAAAATTACTCTGCAGGGAGGATGGCCATGCTGAAATCCCTTCTCCATTCTCGGGATTTGGGGCATACATGCACAGTGGCCAGACATGATTTTCAAGGCCCTAGATTGAGGACTCAGACTGCACAGTGGGCCATGTGGGATCCAGGGCCTGGAAACATTTTTTTAGCACCATAAATTTACGTTGTTACAATTCCCCATCACCAAACTTTAAGCATGTCTGATCTCTCAATCAATAGTCCAAAGCTATTATACGATCGCATTATACAGTTGCATGTGTGGATCTGGGTAATGAAGATGAAGCAGAGAAATCTTGTGGAAATCTAAAAGGTTGTTAAATTGGTCTTCTCTAGGTTTCTACTCATTAACACTGTCCTAGAATTAACCTGTCCCCTCAAGGGGGAAATCCGTGACATTAATTTTTACTGAATATATACTGTGTGCCAAGTAAATTCTAGACTTGAAAAAAAAGGAATAAAATGAATCTTGTCTTTAAAAAGCTCAGAGGGTGGCCAGGAGGCTGCCTTTCCATTGAGGAAAGGAAAATTACTTAGTGGTCACTGTGTCTAGACTGTTTGGGGCACAAAGCAGACAAAACTCTTGCCTCCAAGGAGTTTTCATTATCATGGGGCTGGGAGGATAGACAATGAATAAGATAAATCATAAGTAAGTCTATGAGAAATGGTAATACATATATTACCATA